GTGGGCTACGACCAATGTTCGAAATAAGCGGTACACGCGAATGGCTTTTCTACACTGTGTGGATAATGTTTACAGAAATGTTAGTGTTTGGCATGATTCCCATAATTTGTTTGATCCTCAATCTCCTCGTAATTCGCGAACTGCATAAACTGGCAAAAGATGATAAAGAACTTAATCGCGAATGTTATCCAACACTGATTGGAAGACAGGCAAGGGCCCAGAGTTCAGCGCGGTTGAGCACTACGAGCTCTGTGTTCCTGCCACAGCTTGCAGCTGCCATGGCTGATAGCACGACAAAACAATCAAGTACTCTGACCCTTCTGTGTGTTTCTTTCTATTTAATATTTGCTCATTTCTCTGTGGCCGTTATGGTCCTCCTCTACATTATTCTCCCCATGGGTGACCTTTGCATGACGGATGACCAAATCGCTCATGATCCAACATGGAGAAGGCATTTCCGTTTTTTTACTGTCCGGTCTCTTATTGAATCCTTCGGAATATCTCATTACGCAGCAAAATTTTACATATATCTCGCTACAAGCGCGGCTTTTCGTCAGCAGTGTTCGAACCTATTCCATTGCTACAGACAAGACACAATTGACCAGCTCTCCAATCAGGAACCAAGCTCAGGAATGAGATTCAGTGGACTGGGAAATGGTGGTTCTACCATATTCTCTGCTACTCAGCCAACAATGGGCTCATCAACATTCCGCTTTGGAAGTTCCAGACTGTCCATTTATGCTCCATCAAAGCGTTGGTCAGTCTCCAGTTTCGGTTCGCGAAATCTCTTTAACGATCGCAAGGTCTCCTATTGTGGTCGACAGCGTCCACAGGCTGGAATTTCACGAACAGTTTTGAATGAAATCGGCGAAAGAGTTCAAATAAGGTAGACTTATGCGATGAGCAAAAACTCCTATTTGTATGTCCCTGTACATATTTCATAATGTGATCTGCAAAATTTTGCAGCTATTCCACGTTCCAAAGCATTTTACATACAAGCAGTTTTGTCCTGAAATGGTAAAACGGTGTCCTATGAGCATTTACAATGAATTACTTGCTAAATATTTTGTTATGCTTGCCCATTACCTTTTATCTAAAACGAGGACAGCTAGTTGTAACGCAAACTAATATGTCGATAGTGTCTCTGCTGGCACGTTTATATTCACAGTACTGATAATATGGATCAACATTTATTACGGTGTTTTAGGCTTCCAAATCGAGAAAACCTAAAGACTTCGGAGGACTGCTTTCACTGCCTTTCGCTGAACGAGAGAGAGTCTTTAAGGATTAGAGCCGGATTATTTACTATGAGGCAATTGAAGTACTCAATAATTCTTTAGGGCCAGTTAGGCATATTTCATTTTTTTATCACGCCCCAAGTATGTGAAAAAATCTAGGTCACGTGCGCTAATTATGGACCGTGTTTGCCAAACAGCATGTGCAACACTTCTGCCTTGTCATTAAGCAGACGCTGACTGTGTAATGAGGTACGAACGGTCAGTGGTTTACGATCTAATTGTGAAAATAATATTTGCTGGAAAATATAGTAAAACAGCTGCCACCAGGAATTATATTATTGGTTTTAGTAGAACCCGCGGCAGCTAAAGAACACAAGCAGGTAGTATACCAGAATTTTTTACACTAAATTACGCAGGTAAAAGCAATTCCAATTTATAGGAATATGTGATTGCGAAATTGCAAGTATCTACTTACTGAAAAATTTACATAAACCAAATAAAGTAAAAAAATGGTATTTACATATAAACATGATATTAACCTGGAGTATGAGGCTTTACTATTAACGTACAGTGTAATTTAAACAGTAGTTTTTATATTTATGATGGGGGGTTTCCTTAAATGGAAGGTACTTGACCAAAGTAGCCTTCTGGCAAATAAAACTGTTTATGTCGTCACCGTTAAGCAGTTGATACTGCGTTTTAAACTAAAATTTGATACCTCCTTTACTAGACAGGTCTACAATACTTTTTTCATAAGGCCTTAAACATCCTTCCAATAATAAACATATACGGTAATACACCAATCGATTAAATGATTTGGTAGGTGAAGCAAACAGTCTAAACAGCACACAATAAAGACTTGGCTGTATTTTTGCAAGAACAGTTATCTGGCTGTCGGCTGCTGGGTTTTCGCCGGCTTGAAGGATTGGTGATAAACAGTGATTAAATATAGTACAAGCGTGTGCCTGTTCATTAAATGTCAGCTGCGCTATGGCATTGTATTTAACGAAAGACAATGTTTACAGCACAGGTAATAGTACATGAAGACGAAGCTTGAATAAAAGCATAAGCCTAAGCCTAATTCATTTAAACCATAAGAAAAATTGACAAGAATCATTGGCAGACTATCGCCGATTTTATTAATGATAGAACTGCCCTTTCACAATTTGAAATATTGTAGCCACATGTATGTGGATTAGCTGTGCTTTTTGAGCGCGGTTTTGAAAAATAATAACGGATGCCTGACGCGCCGACTAGTTGCACCTCTTTTTTGATAACGCGAGGTTGTTTTTTCAAATAAGTAACACTGACTAACTATATTTATCTAAAACGGCAAATTCTTCCATTGAGGGTATCGCACTGCTTTTATGAAACGTAAACGTAACAGGAGGTTGCAAATATCATAACATATTCGTAAACAAAAGAATTCAAGTGGAAAATCAAGCGTAAGTGTGTATTCAAGGACGCTTTAGATTAAGTAACTTTACTGAAATCAAAAGAACTACTTTGGGAGATTTTTTCACGTGCCTCTTTATTTGAAAGATCGCGTGTGATGAGATTCGTATGCATATTATAATTTTTAAAAACTTAAATATCTGTCTAGTTATTAAATTATCAAGAGCATGTAAGTGGTTGAAACCAACAACGTACTCGGACATGCTGGATTCAAGCATGCTAAGGGTCTGTGATCGGAAAAATTATAACACGTAGGAATTTGGGTAAACATATAAGAAATGTACTCATGAAATTTTTCGAAGGCAGCTTTCGTAACGATGTGGTGATCTCACACATACGAATTAATAAAATTTGCACAAGTTAAATTAGTTTGCAAATTGAATCTTCATACACGTAAATCGAATACTTTAGAACAGTGATCCTGGAAATTTGCAACTCAACAAATGTTATTACTTACAGTTTCTTAATGACCATTCCATTTTGTTCCTTTTTTGAAAAATTCTCCATTAGGTTGGACAACAAAACTTTTAAATTCTAGAGAATTGGGACTCACTTGTATCACAATACGGTATTCTGTTAAGGGGCGGCATCTTAGTTGAATTAAAATAATAACTTTTCCAGTTAAGATGTTAACACGAAGTTCTGCAGTAGAAACAGTAAGCATGGTCCGTAATCTTGACAACTGTAATAGCTTATAATTCTGAGAGTGCTTCTACACTTAAAATTGGCATTTAATCGTTTCATATAAATTTTTAGTATTGCCGATACTTCAATTTGTCAAGTCTACAAGGAGACATCGTGAAAATCCTTAAAAGCGCTCATTGTGGGCAGGCACGAGGAGCAGTAATGATGTCAAAAATTTAAACAGATTAGCAAGGCCTGGTTGGCAGGTTGGCTTTTATTCAATTTTCGTGTACTTCCAGCGTATCTTGATAAAGAAGTTACCGTCAGAGTAGATATTCACACAATCCATACGTAATCTAATTGTTAGCTATCACATTATATTATTTAGACTACCGTTTCAAATTCATTCTAAATTTTTATTTGTATATTTAAATTATAACTGAGCTATTATATAACAATACGTTTAATCAGCATCGCACCCCTTATTTGATATTATCCTAAACCAATTTAGGTTTCTTTGACAATGACACGTTTGTTTTATAGGGGATTTGAATTTATGGCTTAATGCCTCGTAAAATGCAATATGTTTGCATCTTGCTGAATGGCTAAGTTGAATAAAATAAAGTACGCAAACAAATTGTAAGTAAAGTCTCCCGTTATCTACCAGAAATGCATACGCATTTGTATGGAGTTCAATAAAGTTCGTCAGTGGTAACTGCAAATGTAAACCTTTTGACACATTTACGTTTAATCATCGTCAAGTTGATTCCGACAGTTTTATGGAGCTTTGAAACGCATGAACACTAGTCTGGCCTCTGCATTTACCTTTTCTAAGGTAATTTCCGAGTGATTGAGAAAAGACTAACATCGATGTGCTCTCAATACACCAGTGCAAATGGGCAGTCGACTAATATAATTACATAGACGTTAAAGTTTATCACGTTCGTTGATGAAGTGAAGTATGGTTTCCTTGGTTTTATTCCTGCTAAACCCGTCACTTCGTAATTTTAATTTGTTGCTGGAACTCAAAATAATAAAGGTTCATTGAGGATGAAAACAGTTGATGCTAATAACATTGAAATAAATGCCTTTCGCGCAATATCGCGTAGAGTCTCCTGTATAACCTGATTTATTCTATTCTAGGAGTCGCAAACGAAAATTTTTCAAATCCCTTTCTGATAATAAGAAAAGAAAGTATGTAAGAGTTTCGCTTGTCATTCTAGCATAACACCGAAGACCGCCGCAAATAGAGAAGCAACACCTTGCTCCTTACCAAGGCTGACATATCTCAGTGAGCACTAACCGCCTAATGTACTTTTGCTTAAGGTGTGCTTTATGTACCTTACTCGCTTCATTATATATATACGTGACACTTATGCACTTCTTCTAAGGAAAGTACGCCACGGTGTGTGCAAAGGAGAAGTAACGTTGCGTGTCACATTTTCGCCAAAATTTACCACATGTTGCAAATTGCAGTTAACCTTGCCACATTTTGTAGCCGTAGATCATTGTAGTTTCAGCTAATACCCAAGGGGTTTTAATTTCAAATTTTGCCTTATCTGTTAGTGGCCTTGTTGCAGTTGCAAAATTTCAGTTTTCATTAATAAAAATTATCGATAAGCAACTAATATTGCACATTTTTAAACTTTTGTGGGCGCAGGTCTACCATTTTGTATATGACTGATCGAAAACGACAAGGCAGGAAGCCCATAGCGCAATAATTAGAACGTTCGACTTCTAGTAAAGGTCGTGGGTTTGAGCCTTGAGTGTCCCTATCCCTGGGGTTGAGCAAGGTTGGCCGATGATGGCTGCTAAACCAGAGAGGCCCTCCCGGTTTCCACAACCTTAGCCGAAAATATCATTCTATGTAGATTTATTTAGTCAGCATTTCAATCCAACTGCTGAACATACCATTTCAACATAGTTTATTTATTAATCAGCTTCTTGCGTAGTTTTTTAAACAGAAAACCTCTGCAGGAATAAATACTGATTTTTGACATGAATCAGCCGCAGAGCAGGATAAGTTAATTTTTCCGGACGAGAGATATGCGATCAGTGTATTAAGGCATTTTCTGCCCGGAAATTACACAAACACGCCTAGAAAAAGTGTGTGCATGGCAGACAAAAGGAGCATGTGAAGAGCGAAATGCAAAACGACAATGGACAGGTACTAATTAACCGTTTAAATAGTAATCACTGAGGACCGTATTTGGTGCTGTAAGTGCTTATTCGAGCTCATTCGAGTCCTTGGTTCATATTCCTTCCAATACCCCTTTAAATTATAAGCATGAAGAGTAGCAGACAGGTTTAAGTGCAGATTTTGTCACTGATAATACTATTTATCGACGCCTTTCTCACGAGTACGATATAATTAAGGCGTTTAAATGAGAATCTTAAACATTAGACCAATGAACATACCGTTTCAGTGAGAGCATTACCTTGTTTTACTTGCACCCTGCATATTACATTCTTACTTTTATTGCTATCCTTGTTAAAACATTTACTATCCTCGTTAACTTTTAATCTCCAACGCCAAACCTGAGGCAATGACACAGTAGAACTTGCCGATACAG